GTACAAGTCTCTCCATGGCCTTGCACCAGAATACATTAGTGACATGTTGGTGTCATATGAACCGGCCCGGACTCTGAGGAGCACAGGGACTGGCCTCCTGCTGGTGCCCAGAGTGAGAACCAAACATGGGGAGGCTGCGTTTCAGATCTATGCAGCTAAGATCTGGAACAATCTCCCTGAAAATGTGAGGGAGGCGTCTACTCTGTCAATGTTCAAATCCAGGTTAAAGACTGTTCTGTTTGCCTGTGCATACAACTGAAGGATTTTATCTCCATTTCTAATGCACTGCTGTCATTTATTTATTTTTTAAAATTTCTTGTGTAATTTTGAAAGTTTTAATGGTTTTATTCTTTTGTGTGATTTTAATGTTTTAATTGTGTTTTAATCTTTTGTGTGATTTTAATGTTTTAATTGTGATTCTGGTGTTTGTTTTATGTGATGATTTGTGATGTGGACTGTGAAGTGCTTTGTGTTGCCCTGTGTATGAAAGGCGCTCTACAAATAAACTTTGATTGATTGATTGATTGATAATTCTACGACATTTTTGTGCATGAATTAAGGGATTGAGCAAGTTTCCAATCAAACTGACTTGAGTGTGAGTAGATCGCGGCTTCACGTTGATTATCTGCATGTTGCGGTAGATGCCAGTGTTTGTGTTTACCGTCTGTTCACTCCATCACAGCCTGCGTCTCTGCGATCTGACAGTCTCTGCATGTGCGTTGCTCAAGTGTGTAGTGTATTCCCAGGACTGCTAGTTATAATGTTTCTGGGGGTGATGGGGGGAACTTGAAAGCCCTGCGCTGGCCAAATCAAAACTAACAAGGAAATGATGGGGGCTCCTTTATCTCCTCTCTGGCCTGGGGGTCCGAGAAGGGCGAGTGCAGAGAGAGAGAGAGAGAGAGAGAGAGAGAAGTAGTGAGCGGGCGGGGTGAGAGATAGAAGATGAGTGAGTAGAGTTGGGTGGGGGAAGTAGAGGGGATGGAGGGACACACACACACACACACACACACAAACACACAACCTGCTCAGCCCGGCTTCCTCTTTGATTTGTAAAAAATGTATTACCTCCTAAATCAAACGGAAAATTACTGCGGCAAAGAATCAAAACACATTGAGCCGCTATAGCAGGGAGACGCAGAGGTGCGGAGGTGGGTGGGAGAAAGGTGTTTTTAGCAGGAAGCAGGTGGGCAACAGGAAAGAGAGATTCACCTGTTGGGGTGGACATCTATTATCTGGAGTTTGTCGGCGGTGCGTAGGAGGACTGATGTGTATGTTTGTGGGTATCCTTAGAGAAGCTACCGTACACGCCGCGGATCCGGAGAGAATGAATGAAAGGGAAGGAGCACTACCAATGACCTGCGTCCCTTTGGGGAGAGCAACGTATGGATTACAACCTCAACACAAACAAAGCCTCGTAACTCTACACAGGTTTCTATAGATGTGAACTAGATATTACAATTCTGAGTTGTTGAGAGCGAGGATAAAGTTTGCACTATTTTAAAAGAAGCTGGAATTTTACAAAGGGTCTGGAATTACAACTTTACATCAACAACTATTATAACTATTTGATTGGGAAAATGTTTTTTTGTCGGCCTGGATGGCATTGCTACAGTATACAGTTTAGCCATAGTAATTCTATACTATACTTTGCTTATCATGAAAGATTATATATGGTATAAAAGAAAAGAAAATCTGCTTGAAGAGAGTAGTCTATCTTGACATTGGTATATTTTGAATGGCTTAAAATACTGTAAGTAATGCTTAGATCAAACAATTACCTTAAGATGGTCGAATCGTACAAAACCAGTTCTAGGTGACTACTTTTGATGGATCACTTCTTGAGGAATGAGGGGTTTCTTTGCTTTAAAACATTTCTTACTAAACATATACACATATTCTCTCTCTGTCTATATATCAGGAGTTTTTTATGATATCAGAAATATTTTATTTTTTTGCTGTACTATATCAATAACCTGTAGCCTGTACAACTTTGGGTAAAGAATGATATGATATGGTACTTAGTTGAAACAGCATAACATAGAACAAACAAGATGCTGAAAAAAACAGTTTGAAAAATACAGTTTGAAGGGTTTGGGCAACGCTTATTGGGCTCCAACTCCACATTCACCAGGTTCAGCTACTTTCTTTTCTAAAAGCCAAGAAAGGTGAAGTAAATCCAAGGACACAGCCGCAGTATGATGGTCTGTTAAGGGATCAAACAAACAATACGACCCACGCAACTCAAAGGTCGGATCAATCATATAGTGATGTATTATGCAATTTGGGGTAACTGGATCAGACCGTTAGACTTGAATCCAACACTGTGGGGAAGTAACAGTTGAGACGAGAAATAAACTATAATCCTACAGTACGTGCAAAAGTCGGCCTTATCACAGACCGATGCCAGTGCTCTATTTGAAGGCAGAAAAGAGGGTTCGAAAACAAGAAAGATGAAGAGGAGCGGGAGTGCAGAAGGCGCGAGGGGTTACAATCCAAAGGCGAGGAGGAGGCGAATGTGAAAGTGAGACAGAGAGAGAGAGATGGGAGAGAAATGCCTGGAGTTAGCAATAATAATTTATACAAACACACCTTAATAATTCACGTTCTATTTCAATGCTGCAGGGAAAAATCCAAAATTCACAGAGCATAATTAAATAGCGGCAGAAAGAGGAGGCTGAGGTAGAGAGGCCGGCATTAGACAGCAGTGTAACGGCAGGGCATCGCTTCCATCTGAGCTTTGTAAAACAAGACCGGATAAAAATGTGATATCCAATAGACTGCCTTGTCATGCAAACAATGAAGCAGTCCTGTCAGAAGATGTCTGTATGTACACATGCAGGGAAGAGACACTTGTTTGAAGACCTGTAATAAGGTGGAGACGAGCTCGGAGGCGGTCATCAAGTTTAAAATATGGATTCATTTGTATGAGATGTGTTAAATTAGAAGCAGGGGAACGTGTCAATACACTCTCAAAGTAGATGTTTGCCATTGAAAGTCTCGCAACGAAGACTTAAAATGCACACTTTAATTTGTCTGGTGTAAGGTTTGTATCTTATTGTCTCTTTGGAGTTAACTCATTGGGGGTCACAAGAAAAATGAATAAACACATATCTGTAGCTTGTATAAACTCAAATATTATAACCTTTATCGCAGTAAGTAATCGCAAATAATGTGTTTTTCATAGTTTGTGTGTGTTTTTGCATTGACTCAGTTACCCACCCTTGATTCCATTGAGATGTTGTCTATTTGGCTTTTAGATTATTGGCTCAATATCGATCAATCACTAAGAGTGTTGCTTTATACAGTGGCATATTTCAGGCACAACACAGAAATCTTCAGGGAGAAGGTCTAAATGTTGTATGTATATTTTAAATAATCCATAGAATAATAGTTTCACACTGCAAACCTTTGTGATTTTCAAACCACAAAGAGAGAAAGTAGCTATTTAAATTTAAAGTATATCTCACTCAAACACTTTGGCACATACAGGTACATCTCTGGAAAATTAGAATATGGTTCAAAAGTTCTATTCATTTCTGTAATTCTGCTCATAATGTGAACCCTATATTGATTAAGATAAGATACGTTAGGCTTTATTGATCTCACACAGGAGAAATGTACAAGTCACATTTAGCATGGATAGAATCACTCAATGTTTGTGCAAAAGATAGAAGTGTGCAAACATGCTAAAGGCAAAAAAAGTATTTTCAGGATATATTATGTTCAATAAAAAAGTGGCAAATAAAGAAACATAGATACAGTGAATAAAGGTTTTTAGTCCTAGTGAAAGTGACTTATTGTACAGTCTGATATCGGTGGGGATAAAGGCCCTGCGGTAGCGCTGAGGGTGCCTCAGTCTTCCACTGAAGGAGCTCCTCAGCTCCTCTACAGTCCTGTGCAGTGGGAGGTGTTGTCCAGGATGGAGGTGACTTTGACTAGCACCCTCCTGTCCCTCACCTCCTCCACAGAGTCCAGGGGCCTCCTGTCCCTCACCTCCTCCACAGAGTCCAGGGAGCAGCCCAGAGTGGAGGTTGTTCAGTCTACTCTTGTCCCGCTCTGTGGGGCCCAGCACAGTGCAAAGTGACATTTTATTGTATACAAATTGGAATTTTATTAGATGTTTTAGCTAAGTTTAAACTTTATCTGTATACCACAGTCCTACACAAGTGCGTAACACAACAAGGTTTTGACCCATCAACATAATGACAAATAAAGGCTCAATATATCTCACTGTGTGTAAGGAGTCTGTCATTTATTAGTTTCACTTTGTAAGTTGCATTACAAAAGTAAATTACGATATTTTTTACCTGTACGATTCACATATATTTTTGGATAGTTTTAGATCAACTTTCCTTCAAACAGCAAAGTAAAGCAGCCGGTGGACTTGATTTGTCGATAACTTTCCTACTGGTTTTTGATCGATAAGGGGCAATAGATAGATCAATCACATGTTGTAGCTTGAAAGATACAAAACCAGAATGCAAATGTTTTCAGTCACAACTTTGCATCTGCTAAACTTTCTGCATCACTGAACTACTGTATACAAGTGTAAGTTCTCCTCACCTTCTTTTCAAAATAACACTGTCCTATGATCAATTAAATAGCAGTGTTTTTAATGCATAATAAGGGTGAGTGTGGAGGTGCTCTTCAAAGTTACATGTAATCCCTCCTGTTCTAAACGCACTACAAGGATGTCCACCGTGTTGCATCAGCCGCAGCCTCAGGTGGCCGCCCAAGATCCCATCCATCAAACACTCGGGCTGCAGACATATAAAACATAACCTTGCCATATTTCACCATCGATTTAAAGTATGTTTACGAAAGCCTCACGCCCTTATGCAACGCCTTCGTATTTAGCTGGACTCCAACTTCTCAAGTTTAAGAAAAGTGCAATATGGGCAACCTGGTGCATGATGCTCTGTGTTTTCAAAAAAGGCCATGGTGATTTGGGTCTTCTGCGTGGACTTATGCGGCCATTTTTTTGTAGGTGTTGCAGAGGCATGGACTGCAACTGTGTCAGTGATCTGCTGCTGCCCCCGGTGCCCACCCTGTGGACGCCAGGTCAGTTCATCAAACCATCTTCACTGTGCAATGGTGAGTTATCCAAAAAATACACACACACATTCACACATTCACACACACACCCGTATATATTTTAACCCTCTGGACAAAATATAATTCCAAATTGGCTAAGAGATGTCTGGTTTCCATTGTATGTGTAATTTTACTCTTAACCATTTTCATTATTCTCACTGATTAATATTCTTTTAGGGTTAGGTACAACTTACATAGCTCTGTGCCAGTTCTGAATAGGCTCCTACTTACTTGCAAAGATTAAAATTGACATTGATGACAAAACCCACGCACTGCTAATCTGTCAAACTTGTATTTAGAATGACTGATGCTAGTTTGAGTGTTTTATTCTTCTGATGAGTCCGTTTTTTACTAACCACCAGACAATTTTTTTTATGTGAGATTCATTCATGCATCAAAATCTACCTGTTACTTGCAAATCAGAAATGTATAATAGCATGAGAGTAATGTAAAAGTCTAAAGGATTAAAAAAACAATATTTAGTAATGATCAACGTTTTTTTTTAGATTCAAAATATATATCCAGCACTGCACTTTTTATGTGCCGGTATCATTAAGAAATTGAGGAAGAAAACCTTTTTGTGCAGCTGATCTGGCCATAAGACTCCTCTCTGACCACTATCACACACACAAAACATTCATTTGAGTGTCTTGCTCAAAGTGTTCAACGTTACAGCGACAACATTTGGGGCTGGGATCAAACTAAACGCTCAAACCACACTCTGAGCCCCTGCCGCTCTCCGTATCCATCAGTTTATTCTGGGCCTAAGTAAAACGCTCATGTATATTATGTAGCTGTCTAAAATGGTGCCCAGGGAAACATGGAAATTCTGGCCTCTGAATTCTTGCATTACTTTTTAAATGAATAAACTTGACTTGATTTTAGCTCATCTTCTTTTTGCAGCCGAGTTAGCGTCAGGGTCACGGGAGGATTAACAAGCCGACTAACACTTAAAACTCACCCATAACATGCATAGGCTCGGCTTTTACCATTCAGACCTGGGCTACATCAATCCGCTAGAGCTGTCATCATCCGACTGACCGGTCTGTTGAAGCTTGAGGGCATTTACGTAGGTTCAGTTTGCTCTAGGCACATGCTGTGATATTAAACACATCATCTCTCAGCTGCCATCAGTCATCCCGACAGCCAACCCTCCTGGTGTACAACTAAAACAAACGACATCTTCTTTTTCCATCCAGGCTTTGCTTTCCCAGACTGGGCCTACAAGCCGGAGTCCAGCCCTGGGTCCAGACAGATCCAATTGTGGCACTTCATTTTGGAGTTGCTGCAGAAGGAGGAGTACCAGGGGGTGATCGCGTGGCAGGGCGACTACGGCGAGTTTGTCATCAAAGACCCCGATGAGGTGGCCCGGCTGTGGGGGATCAGGAAGTGCAAGCCCCACATGAACTATGACAAGCTGAGCCGAGCGTTGAGGTACGAAGGGAATTCATATTTGCTTTTCTGTCACCGCTGATGCATCACACGTCTAGTGGTTGTCAACAATCTAATTATGTCAGTCAGTATCTGGGTTACCGTTTTTGCAGTTGATTTAGGATTTTAAGGGAGTATCCTTTTCAAAATAGCTAAAAAGGTGGGATTTTTTTCAAGAAGGAAAGTCAATACTTTTATTTAAGGGGGTATCCTAGTGAAAAGTTTACCACTGAGCTACCAAATAAAAATTCAATAAGGCTTTCAAATTGAAGTCCCAGTTTGAAATCAATTGTAACATATAAAACAGCGTGGCACCAAACTCGATGATTAAAACAATAGCACTTAGCCGCTCCGTAGTATTTTCTTATGCAAATGTCCCGGCAGCCGTACGCCCCCTCCTCTGCGTTCCTTTGGCCTCTTGTTAATGGGGACTGTCGTCAGAGTCTAATTGTTATGAATTGGCTGGGGCCACAATTAGCCTTCTTAATTAGCCTCACTTAATTGCTCAATTAAGGGCCACAGCACAATTGCCACGCAAAGCAAAACTCATACACATGATTGCGTTGGATACGGACACCCTGTTTGTTGATATGGTGCATAATGATGTGGGCTCGGGTGTAAAGCTGAGGTTGCCTAATGCATCACATATGCTAAGTACCAAGTGAAGGATCTGCATGGGCCCCGTCTCCCTCCTGAGGCTGTAGCATTTTTGAAAAGAATTTATATTAGTTTTTTCTACGGCACATTTGAGAACTGTAATGTGAATTATTTTTGACAAATTACCTGTTTCGCTGCTGTTTTTCTTTTTGAGTAGTAGCTCAGTTGGCAGAGCTGTGTTCTCTGAGCTGAAGGTTGGTGGTTAAATCCTGCTCCCACAATAAACATAATTGGTTGAGCATTCAGAGTGTTTGGCAAGTGTGAATCCAGCTCTTATTGGTGAATGTTGCTGTGTGTCCATGGGCAAGGCACTTAACCCACCTCGACAGCGGCATCTGCCTACACTGGTGTGTGAATGGTTGAAGGCCCAATGGATTCCATGTTTTGATAAGTTGTGAAGGTGTGATACTTTTACCGTTACTGCCAAAGCTGTAGTTTTGTTTATATTGAGCTGGTGTTGTCTTTGTTCTGAGAAAATAATAATTGGATTACTATATCACGCCCTGTCACTATCTGTTTATAAACTTAAACACATACAACTTGCAGACATGTTGAAGCTTGTGGGTTAAACAAAAAACCAAAAAACGTTGTAGCTGCTGTAAGAGGAAATCAGTTGAACCCTGCTCCAAATCCACACTCCTAAAATTGTCATCGCCCGAATCCAAACGTTGCATTCTCGCTGAGCCAGACGTGCCATGTCTGTGCGTCCTGACAATGTTCACGCCGCAGCAGGAGGCACAGGAAACTGGAGTAACACGCCCACCGGGAGACACCTGCTCCTCTCCGCAGAGGTGGCACGAGAATGTGCTTTTGGCCGCAGGTCATGTGCACGTTCACACGTCACCTGAACTCCGGAGAACTGATTATTTTCCCCTAATCTGAAACAGAAGAAACACAAAATGCAGGAAGCAGTTGTGGTAGAAAGTATAATTGGATTTGATCTAAATTGTTGCATTCAAATACCGTTGCAAAAAACCTTTGGCCAATACAGTTGCAGTGTTAAACTGTGTGGAGATGGGGTCAATATGTCAAAGCATCTTTATGATGTCACATTATGCTATGCTTTTAGTATTCTACTTTCACAAGGACTTTTTGACGGTTTCCCTGCAAACAGCAGAATAAAATATTCCTCAAAAACGGCATATTGTATTGAATGAAGGTAGAGAGATATGAATTGATCGGAGGAAGGAGGAGGCGCAATAAAAACAGTGGGAAATCAGAATAACTCCAGCCCTACAGCGCTCGGCTTCACTTGTTTGCTTATTCCTTCTTACTAACGGGACCAAACACAAAACCTTGATGTGAGCTTTATTCTAATCCTCTCCTCCTCTTTTCCTTTTCCTCTTCCTTTTCCCTTTATCCCCTCACTAGACTGTGCTCATGTCTCCTCTTGTCTGCGCTCTGCAGGTATTACTACAACAAGCGCATTTTGCACAAGACCAAAGGGAAACGCTTCACGTACAAGTTCAACTTCAGTAAAGTGGTGTTGGTCAACTACCCCATTCTGGACATGGCCAACTCCCCGTTCTTTCTGGCCCAGAATCACTTCAATGGAGGCTCCACTGCTCCAGACTGTAGTCCAGAGGTAAGACCTGAGACATGCTATAAGGAGCCTCATCACACTTTGTATTTCCCCACAGACTGATAAAGGCATCATTCCTCTAAGTCTTAACAAAAACAAAAACAATATATTACAATATTTTGCCACAAATGACAAAATCGAGCACCTTTTTGTAGATGCATGGTAAAAGAACAGTATGGACTACAATGTGAGCTTGCATAAAAACTAAAAACATACGTCTAAGTTTAGTATTCATTCTAATTTCAGGAGCAAAGCATATAATAGACAACTGAGAAATGTGATCAAAGCAAATATGAACAACTGAGAAGATGATTATGCGACTATCAACTGAACGAAACCTGAAACATTAGATACCGTAAAGTTTGGAAATATAGATGTCACATTAATTATAGATGAGGATTGGGCTAATTCAGTTTACTCAGCCACAGTGTTTCCAGATCCCTGCTGTGTCTCGGCTCTGCGTGGGAACACAGAGAGCATTCACTGTATCTATCTTTTATTCACCGCCTCTAATAGTGATCGGAATCGAATGGAGATCATGAGAATTTGCCCTGAGAGATTCTGAACTCTTATCTTGTGAATGGTATGTGTGCAGTGCAGGAAATATAGATAAATAGAGTCAAAAAATCGATAAGAAGAAGAAATATACTCAAATTAAGATGTGTTCAGCCAAATTTCAGCAATTTTTGACTTATTTTTCATTACTTTTTGCAGTGTATTGCCAGGAATGTCACAATATGAAACAGCAGAGAAACAAAAGTATTATTAAAGCATGTTTTTTTAACTATTATTTTTCTTAAATAATACATGTGGTTTGTCCAACACCGAGAGTATTGTAAAAGTAAAAGGTTGTGAATGATAAATCAGATCACAACAAACAAATCAATTATGATCAATGATTATTATGATATTTGTTTGTTTTGGAATTTCTAGTATCTAACTTTTATCTCGATAATAATTCTTTTTTCTTATCTATTTCTCACTATTAGTTCGATCAATGGTACAAGCACAAAATATCCTGTTGATATTGAGAAATGAGAAAAAAGATACAAAACTTAATATGGGGACTATCCGAACACCCATTAGCTTCTTTCTATACAGCCAGATATACTGTATAGAAAACAAATATTTACCGTGTTTTTTCTTGTATTTATTTCTGCTATTGGAGTGGTCCTCGATCTCTTTCAACGTTTCTGGGCTCCACCTATCGCCCGTTTCCAATCAGATTTCTGACAAAAAAAATCTGTTTTATCTCGTCAGTAAAACATATTCTGTTTTGTGTGCAGACTTGTATTGTGCTTTTGACTGGATGTGTTTTAATTACAAGGCAAGACACTTCCCCCACATGCAGTAGGAGCCTGTAGAGTGTGCTTGGTGGTTGGGAGGGGCCAATGGCACATACTGGTTGCCTCGCCCCAGGGCAGTGGTGGCTGCAGTGGGAGTTTATCACCATGTAATGATTGAATGACTTGTGAAGAATCTTGGAGAGTCCAGAAAAGTTATTAAACTGATGCATTATTATTATTATTAGCCCTCCATCGCTCATGTCTCACTTTGTGGTCAATGTGTGTAGATTAATTCAAACCCCAAACATTTGCATCATATTCCACATAGAGTATTAGGGTACTCTAGTATTTTGCATTATACTTTTTGGGTGAAAAGATATCCCTCTTATTTTAACCTCTTGCCACAATCAGATGACTGATATAACATGAAAAAAGTCAGTCAGGAAACAATGTAAGTATGTATCTTTACTTATGTAGCGCCTTTCACAGACCAGAGTCACAAAGAGCTCTACAATTGTTGCGGGCATTGGTCTCTCACTCCACACAGAGATGGGAGCGGGGTCGCCAGTACAAGAGGCCCATGCCAGACCTATTATACAGGTTTTTAGGGGTAGGTGAAACCGGAGCACTCGGAGGAAACCTGCACAGACACGGGGAGAACATACAAACTTCACACAGAAAGGCCCTGTTCCGACCGCGATTTGAACCCAGGACCTTCTGATGTCCATCCTTGAGGTTGAAAGTGGAAGGTAGAAAAAAATGTCATTATAATGGAAGTCAATGGATCATCCTTAGGGACTATTTATTCACAGATAAATATTAATTTGACCCTAGATCATCTTAGCTCAACCTAGTATACACCCCTTTGAACAATGTGAGATAACATGCAAAAAAGTCATGTAAAAACCAAAACCTCAAAAGCACAAAAAAGTACCAGGGTTTGATAGAGGGTGAACCAAACTTTGCTCTTTAACATTAAAACACAGAAGACCAAACTTTGAAAGTAATTAGTGTGTGGCACTGTTTTAAACTCCATCCATACATCTTTAATTTAGTCTCTCTCTTCATAATACCATCTCTCCTTGTACGTCTGTGAAGTTGAAAGTACAGTGGAAGGGACCCCTCCATCGTCGCGCCGCTTAAGTCCGGATCAGGACCGCGTGCCCGTGTGAAGGAGACGGTTTTAACTTGTCCTTAAAACAAAGAGGAGCATGTGATCCCCGCTCATCCCTGTCCCGACGCCGTATCCACGCGTCATCGATCCAAAATGAAAGCCATACAAAGCAAAGGGCCGTCAGATCAGATCAATGGGAGGTCATTAATGCGGTTTGTTAAGCAACCGGGATCTGTGGCAGCCTGGGACTACAGTCTGCAGACTCCGGGTGACACATGCCATCGATCCACACATGAAAAAACACCTCGTCCCACCTGATTCGACTGTTCCGTTTGTTCTGCCATCCTCCCAGAAAACATAACATATACATGCCTTAATTAAAGCTGGAGTATGTAACTTTTCATTGTTTTTTTAATACTTAAATTAACCAAACTAAGCGACAGATAAAAACATATTTATGGTATTTTTAGGGAAGTTGAGGAATGCACATTCAACCTAAATTGACCAAAAAAAACAAATTTAATAATGAATTGGTTCAAGCTTGAGTACGAGTTGTTTTGAGTTGATTTATTTTGAGTAAAATAGAAATACATCAAATTATTATCAAGTGTCAGTACATAGAATTTTCTAACATATCTTCATTAATAATTTATTAAACTCGTGGGGTGACAGTGGCTCAGTTGGTAGAGCATTGGCCTTTGGGCCTGAAGGTTGTGGGTCTGAGCCCACCATGAGACCTACTGTACTTCACGACTCCCACTGATGACTGCTGTCGTTGTGTCCTTGGGCAAGACACTTAACCCCACTTTGCCTGAAACCCACACTGAAAGACTAAGGCTCCTGTGGACTCACCACCTGCATTAGGATCAGTGATGGGCTGGTGCTCTGTGTACTGGGTGCAGCTCTGACTGCCACCCCCCCGACCCAGAAATGGATTAAGGGGAAGAAAATGGATGGATGGATTAAACTCGTATGTTCTTGTTTCACTAAAACATCTGTAAACAACACAGACCACCATATAGTTATCTTATTAGAAAACATTTATTAGAAAAAAACATTTTATATACTGAGAGCTGGTTCGCTAAGTGAGGGAGGGTCCTCTCTTTTTCACTGAAAAAGATGATCTAAAGACTACATATACATGCCGATGAAAACTATTGACAGACCCAAACTGTTTTGAAAGTGTGGAACATGGATGTTAGATATCCTAGCTTTATACATAAACTCTGTGGGAGAATAAATGTTACTGTCTTCTGTTGATAACTTTAACTCAATAAAAACAACAGATTCAACTGTAAAACCGTGTTCCAAAACTGCACAGCACTTGGAAACTCCTGCTTCCATAAACTTAAACTGGCCTCTGTGTGACTCCCGTTGTCTTTGAACGCAGCAGATGAACCTTTCTCTCTCTCTCTCTCTCCTCAAATCCCCGGACGAGTCTTTTATCCTGTCCTTGCTCCGTCTCTGTCTCAGTTTGCATCACGCTCCGCAGGGTTCCGCTTGTCAACATATGTCTTTAACCTCCCGGCGACATATGGCGACGGATTTGAATGAATATATGCATCCATTTAGGAAGTCTTCTGTATCCAGCTAATTTTGTGTCTATTTCATCTTATTGTTTAGGCCATACAGTCGCTGTTTCCGCGTTTGCCAGACTCCAGCAGAGCCACTTCCCTGTTTGATCGAGGCAGCGCTGCACCAGGGCCTGAAGGAGACAAGCTGAGGCTGGACTCGCTGCCTTTCCTGGGTTCAGGTGAGATGGGAATATCATAAAGCAATAATACATAATTTAGTTAAAGGGGAAATTACAGTGATGTTTGTGGTGTTTAGTATACTCAAATACAGGTGAAACTCACAACACAGTAATATTATTCAAAAGTTCATTTATTTCAGTTCAAACGTAAGATTTTAAACCTTCTTACAAGCAAAGTGACATATGCCAAGCTGTTGTTTGTTTTACTTTTGATGGTTGTGGCTTACAGTCCATATTCAAAGTATTCTAATTTTTTGAGAGGTTTTTACAGTCTGTGAACAACATTAGAACAAAATAAAGGCTTGTTTTAAGAATATCCATCAGAGAGAGTTTGGGTTGTCAGTTTGTTAGTTCAATTACTTCTATAACTCAACTTAAAATGTGATACTTATACATAACATACACCTTAAAATGGCTGCACCATTCTGACTGCCTGAAGTACTAATAATAATAATACAATAAATAATGTGATGTTTTTGGAAATAGTTTTATTATTTTCCCCAAAACGAAATACTGTAAATGTGGGGAAGCCATACAAAATATGTGATCTTGCAACATTTGGAAAGACAACAGTGCCTTAATCAATTTCATTCAACACAAGTAGATAGTACACACCAGAGCTGGTGCTGTGAGTCTGTGAATGGTTTTGTTGAAAGAGTCCTGTTATCATTTCAATAGCGTTTAATCGTGCAGCCATACTCGTAATCCAGTTTTATTATTCCCATTCCCTTCCGCCCACTGTCCAAAGAACACGTTCCAAGCAAATGCAAACCACTCTCAAAATGTTCAAATTCTGCATTCACAAAGACAGACTCGCTTCCTAAAAAAGAAAGAGCGGAGATGGAGAGAGGAGGTTATGGCAGAGGAATGCGGATGCGCTGAGGCAGTAACATTTATTGTGAAAGGAAATAGGAGAGATGGCCGTCGTCCCAGTGCAGCCCAGACTGAGGCAGTGCTGCAGGTGAGAGCAGCCAGGTTAGCTCCTGAATTATGCACGTCATTGTTTGTCGGAACAAGTTGCAAAGCCAAAGAATTCTTCCACCAGCCAAAGCAACATTACATTTTCCTGCTCTGTTGTCGCCTCTGAGTGTCAACAGCCGTGACCAGGGATTCCTTTAGCTTGACTGACATAGGCTCGTTCATTAATTTATGGCCTTCTGGAACATATGTGCATCAGAATGTGTATGAGTTAGGATACAGCTGGGGGTGAACTCCATGCACTTCTTATCACAGGCCGCCCCTCCCACCCTGTTTGTCCTCGGGTCCTTTTCCCCCTCTCCTTCCCATCTCGCCCTCCCCTCCCTCCCCTGTGTCCCCGCTGTCCTAATCCCTTCCCAGGCAGGAAGGCCCTAATTGAGGGTGCAGGCTTGAGTTTGTGGCCTGTGGGCGCCCATTACTGTGTTTTCATAAGCAAGTGAGGCCTGCCTGACTGATTCAATATTCATGTGTCTGCCAGCTACTCCCGGCCCAGCACGCCCAGACTACTCCACTGTCAAATTAGCCCTGCATAGTAAATAACAAGAGAGGAGGATAGGGAAAGAGTACGGCAAGAAAGAGGGGAAGAGATGAGAGCGACACACTGAATCTTTGAGTTGGTTGTCAGTTGGAAGGAAGTGTGGTTGGTAGTGAGGCAATGCGTTTGTTTGTGCATTAAAATTGAATCTCTGCAGCATCTCAAAATTATACTTTCCTCCATGTAGTGCGATAAGGTACAATAGAGTGCTATGTTTATTATGCACCACATTGAAGGGATTCTTGTGTAATTAGAAATGATACCAACACGTCTGAACATCGCAGTGAAAGTTTCCCCCTTGTCATTCTCTTCACTTTCTCAGTCCCACGGGTGACTGTAGAGAAGTGCACCATTTCAGTGGGACGATCCGAAAACATTCTTATTTTCGTGGAGATGCTGATGTTTTTCGGGCGTGTTGTACCAAATGGCACAGGAAAATTTTCAATTTCCATGGAAACAAGACTCAAGACTAAATATTTTGGCAGTCAAGCTTGTTGTGGGATTTGCAAGAAGGGCATTAGTTGCTAACCGAAAGAGATTTACAGGTGCCAAATCCAACATTAGGAACCCATTATTATTCCAAGACATTTACCAGTATAACACACTGGTTTATCAGCTTTTCCACATGGTTTTGCATAATTTGCTGCAAACATAGGACATTTTTTTAAGTTCCTTGCTCTATAGAAATAACAAAACACTATAGATTGGAAATAAAATAAATGAAAGAAGCTGGTGATGGACCTTGCACCAGAAATGTTATTGTACAGTACTTTGAACCACTAATAATTCTGATTCTACATTTGTACGTTTGTTTGATCTTCACAGCCATATCTGTCCACATGTGGCTCTCAGAAGTGCACTATTGGCATGCATAAATGAACCATCACATTTGTGGTGAGAGTAACCAGTGCCAGAATTGGCCCCTGTGGCTTCTGATTAGACTTGCTAATATTACAGAGCTTAATTAGGGAACATTCTTGGATGATGTATGCCATGAAACCTTTGCCCTCTCAAGCTAACCCTCTCTGTATTCTGTCCCGTAGGTGCACCATGCTACTCCAAACCCCCGTCTCTGCTGGGTCCCTACCCGCGGAGCCCACCCTTCGACTATCCATGGGGCTTCAACCCGTATCTCCCAGGGGCCTTCTCTCTCAACAACTGCCCCAAACTGCCCCCTGGCTCCCTGTACCCCTCCCAATTCTACCCCAATCCTTTACAAAGCAGCCTCTCCCAGCTGCCTAACCCTTTCTCCTCACTGCTGCCCCCGGGGGAGGCAGGCGATCGGGGCCAAACGGGTGGGACAAACGGCTCAGCGGGTGGTCAGCCCCCCAGACTGCTCCTCCCTCCGTACCCGGGGAGCCTGCCTTTGGGGCGCTCAGACATCGGAAACGGGACCGCACTGGGAGACAGAGAGAGCGGAGAGCCTACTACACCCGTCCTGGGACTGGCTGGCGTCGGGACAGGCAGCGACAGTCCCACAGAGAGGAGGAGCGGAGGAGGGGGGGTGAAGGCGGACCCCGAATCGGACTCAGATCTGGAAATAACAGATCTAAGCGACTGCAGCTCGGACAACGAAGACTTCAACGTGGGGAAAGGTTTGAGTCGAGACAGGCCCCAGATCGTTTTGGATGGGAAGAAGGGGAGCATTCAGCCTCCCATCTCTCACCCGCTGAAGAGCCTGCTTCCAGTCACCCCTCCGCCCTCTCTGCCACCATCACTCTCCCCATCTTTAGCTCTACACGACAGGCACAGGGAGACGGACGCTCTCAAAATGATACCCAGCTAATACTTGTGTTAGAAATCTTGCCATCTTCTCAAAGAAAACACTCTCTTTTTCTCTCCTTTTTATTGGTCAAAGACGCTGTGAAGCATTGGATGAACCCACATATATTCTGGCCACTCCAACAACAACTAACTTTTTCTGTATTTTTGAACCCCTCACAGATTATATATATCTGTAGGTGCAAGCATGACCATACAACCATCTTGTGTTTTGATGTCTCCTATGTTTGTGTGGGTCTTTTTAGTGCACTTTACGATTTTTTGAGCAGTGATTGAAAGCATTGAGGTGGTAAATTACTACCCAGCTTTCCTCCTGTCTTGACAAACATTAACAAACAACATCCCTATAGCAACATTTTAGAACACGTAATTGTCAGATCGATCCAATTTTTTACACTTTTCTCCTGTAATCTCCAGCTTTGGCTCCACCAGCTGGTCAAATACTACCCCCTAGTGGACGCTTTCCATAAATTCGTCTCGTTTTTTGTAAATCTTGTGTTCAAAACTTCCCCAGCGTTGCACCTTACTATAATGTTTAAAACGCACATTTATGCTAGCGTGGTATACTGTGAATATTTATTTGTGATCCAGGCATTTGCTGCACATTTTTTGAAAGGAAAGAAAAAGAGAAAAGGGACAGTTCAGTCAATCTATAATTTGAATGGATATTTCTCTGTATATATTTTAATATTGTGCACATTACATTAATTATTATGACTATGATAAATTAAGCTGTATTGTTGTGGTTTCTGTATTTATAATGTTGGAAAATTATTAAGCGTGTGCATCAAAGTTTAAATTATGAACGACATATGAGCTGTTTTTCTATGAACAGGGCACAGTGGAATTGTCCGGCTTCCTCAGTCCGGGTTAATTGTGCCCTATGGTCATTTTTGTCTAAAACACAAACCCTTTGGGCCACGAGATTTATTTTTATAGCTTACATTCAGCCTGTGAACTGTAATTAGTCAAATGTGAATAATATTGGGTTTCTTGTTAAATTCCCCCTTCTAAATATGTTTTGATTATCTTTTGCAATCAATGCTTTCCAGTAGCAGGATCTTTGGTTTTGCTCAAGGACATTTAACATAATACAAGTGATATAACGTGCACCTCCGCGCTCTGTTCGATTCTGATGGTCAGTGTCCTTGGTTCTATTTCAAGTGTACAGCTTCATAGCATCTGTTGCCTGGTACAGTCTTCAATAAGTCGTGAACGCCCTAAATGTAAACTTAATGTAATGTTTGTTGAGTTGCTCCAGAAAAATGGTTTACACTTTACAGTCACCTCCATAAGCAAAGCAAGCCGCTTTTGATCAAGCTGGGACAACATGAAAAATGTGAAATAAAATAGATTGTAATTGATCACTTGAACTAAATATGTTTTATTTCAAAAGCACAGCCAATAGTTGGTCAGGTGATTTCTCTAAACGTTGGAAAACAATCCTCCTCCATCTTTGTTGTTATACCAGTGCTTGCATATTAACTTACAATATTCACCCCATGTATCCCTATTTACAATGTACATAAGATAATTTACACTGTCATGAAATAGACACTAAATATTAAAGTGTAATTTGGCCATTAAATGGTGGAAAAAATCTCTTTATACTTAAGGATCCCACTGCTCTGCATTTTCTAGATTGTCCCATATTGAGTGAATTGGGTTTGTCCACTGACAGATGTAAATATCCTTTGTGTGTGTGTATGTGTGCAGACATCCAACATGACCATGCAGTGGTTCTACCTGTCATCTCTCTTTGATTTCTGTAAAGAGGAAAAAATGAAAAGATTAATATCTTCAAAGCAATAAACATTATTCTGGATACAAAGCTGGCTGTTATTTTGTCTACATTCTACATTAATGAACTCACAGATTAGAATTTGATAGATGTCAACAGTTTGAGTTTCCAATGTAGTAAAATGAGTTTCTATCGCATCACAATCCACCGACAGGTAATTTCAACCTGTCTTTCTTATTGAACTATCTCTGTTCCATTTAGGAAAAGAGGCACTGAATGACACTTTGTTCACAGAATGTTCTGATGACTGCTGGCACTTAAATGTGGGCTGTTAGAAAACCTTTTATCATCAAGTGAGAAATTACACAACGGGAGAACAAATGTTTTTCTCTTGGTGTAAAACACCAAGAGAAAGAACTGTTTTCTCAGATCAAATGGAGGATTAGAAAAGCAGACGTACAGTATTCTTACAAAATAATCTATTATATGTTTCCTCAAAGACCCACAGGGAATATTTTTAGGGAAAATAAACAAAGAGAAAGATGCCATCCTGATGATATTTATATTTACATTTTACTCATTTCATGATGTTCATGTTTTCAATATTTTTTATTTCATCTCCACAAACTTAACTCAAACCTGGATCCCACTATTCCTGTTTCCATGGAACTGTTATTTTGCTCTTGATTTTCTATCAATCTCCATGTACAATATTGGTTAGTTTACTTTCTATTTCCATGGAATCACTCACCTCTTCCCCAAAGTCCCTGCCCAAATCTGTAGGTCTGTAAATGAAAAGGCCACTTCTGCTTCACCAATGATAATATTCTTATGTCATACGTACAGTATGTGGCTGAGTCTACATGTCCACATTAAAACATTGATTACACTACGCAATGCCACACATGTGCAATAATGTAGCTCATGAATTGAATGTTCATTTCTCGACCATAAGTTGCCTCCAAAGAATCAAACAGTTTTTCATTATTTTTTTCATGAAAAACCAACCAACCTTTTGCACTAAGTGTCAGAAACTGTCTTTGGGAAACTCATCTCTCTGTTCTCGCCGTCCATATCCGGGTTTGGACCTGACAGCAGTTTATTCTTGTCAATGTTGTGGATGGAGTGGCCCAACAGTGGCAGTGGAGATGCAGTTGGACATGAATGCAGGTGTATTTCATTGATGGTATTTTTGAATGCAGACACACCATTGCTGCCATTAAATGACCTTCACCTTATATTGCATCAAGATAAGCAAGGCCCCATGTTGCAAGGATCCGTACACAATTCAGGGGAAAACATCCCAGTTCTTGCGTGGCCATTAAATTCACCAGAGCATGTTTCTGATGCTCTGGATCGCCATGTATGACAGGGAGTTCCAGTTCCTGCAATATTCAGCAACTTTGTAGAACTGAATAACTTGGAGTGACCTGTTATCATGGCAAGTCTAATCCACACACTTGAGCAATATTCAAGCTGTTTAATAAAGATTTAACTTGATATTCCAGGCTGTGAGGTTGGGGTGAAAATCTTGGCAAAGAGAACAGTTCTCACAGATTCAACATAAACCCATGTTTGAGCAAATGTTTTAGATCTTCATCCAGCTTAAAAAAATTGAACTGTTTGTAAGGCATGGAGCAAATTATTTTCTAAAGAAAGAAAAGAGAAAAGAAACACATCAACACAAACATGAGTTTGTTTTGATGATATTACCTCTTTAAAGGTTGTTTAGCAGTGGTGGGGAGTTGATTACACCCCCACTTTAGGGCTCATGTATACTTTAGCATTGGATATTTTCACCACCAGGTGGAAGCACAGAACTATTAAACACATTGAAATATGTATTTGTATACAGTTAGTTTTTGAGGGAAAAACATTTTTTTAATAGTATAACGTTTTGCACATAATCGATAATATTTAAATGTTTTTCACTATTAGCCGGTGATAGGTTTGTACACATTTTTTTCGGTTACATAGATCTGCTTAAGTCAGTGAAAATACCCATCCAGAACGACAGGCTGTGTGATGTTACAAAGGTGTATTTATCTATGTTTATTGCAGTCATGTTAATGCAGATGTAAATGGCAGAAGGCGTAGGGTGCGGTGTCTTGCCCATAGACTGTATGATCTGCCGACGCTGGGGAATGGTTTGTGTGTAACACAGTGCGGAAACTACTGCCTCTACTTTTTCCCTCAACTTGAGATGGAAAGTTTAACACAAGCCACTTCGGCTTGAAGTCTCAGTTCGACTGATCCAGCGCTGATGTGACTGCGGGACATATGCAGTGAAGTTGGAGTACTCCTCGCAGGACTTTTTCAGTTTTTGAAGCGCACTTCCGCGTACAATGGTGTCGCACTGACACAGACACAGCAGAACCCTCCGACAGCTTTACCTGCGCTTTTTGTCGATCCACGGGTGAGGACGTGTTTTCTTGACTTCTTTACAGATGGACGGCAGTGTCGCACTTGTGATGTGTCAAATGCTTAAATGTAGTGTTGTGTGAGTAGTTTGAGCCATGGAAGTGTGGTGTCCACAGAGGAATGCTGCTGCGCTCCTTTGCCTCGGCTCGCTGTGGATTTACCACAGCTGCTGTTCTCTCTTTAGTCTGTGTGAAGTCTGTGTGAAGTCTGTGTATGAAGTCAGAAAAGACTCTCTGTGTGACAGGCATCATGCAACATGGCTTTGAACAACTTTAGATTAAGTTTCCTTTTGTGCCCTGCTCTGGCAAAGTCATCTTCAGGACTGGACAAGGTCTCGACTCTGGGCAACTTGAGGTCGAGTCTTCAAACGTAAATCACCTTCATTTTCCGTAATGTTCCTTTTGGGACTTGTCCTTTCTTATTACGCATAGTTTAAGGTCTTTAAGATACTGTGCTCCATTTGACAGGGTTAAGTGACTTGTTGTGTGTCACTTAAAACTTTGTGACCTCTGAGCTGATGTGAAATTAACCGAAATTTGAAGTTGAATCTCTGCGTTTGTTAAAGTTTAAAGCTTCATTAGTTGCAGTCCGTTACATTGTACTCTTTTCTAAGTGCAACAACAGTATTCTAGTCAAATGGGCCATATGGAGTGCGCTGCTCCACTGCAGACAGTTCAATAATTAGTGTCTGGATATAATTGATTAGCCCTGATAATTTAGCCTTGTGAAATGGAGAGGACATGGTCTGTGCAGAGTAGGCCTTCCTGTGTTCTCAGGAAACTGTAATTACTGTACAACCAACGCTGCTTCATTATCTCCCAACAGACATTACACACAGATAGGAGGCTGCGCTCGCCAGCACAACGCCACGTTTTCATTAATCACAAGAAAAGTGCAGAAAGCCAGTGGGACTAGCATTCCTTCCAATAAAACTATTTAGACTGCACAAGTAAAAATACTGTGAAAACGGAAAAAAATGGCTCTAAAAAGAATAGTTAATTGATCAGGGACAACGCACAAAATGTTATGAAAATCAAATATGTACCAGGTTTTAGCAAATATGTTTGTTTTTACTTGTCCCTGGACAGGTTGATGGTATAGTTACAATGTTATTACTATGATGTATCTCATGTATGCGTCTCCTAATGGATAATAACTGATACAGTGTGTATGGGGGGTCTGTTTATCCTCCCCTTTAATGTCAGAGAGCAAACATGTGTGTAATGTGGTCTTCATTCACTGTAGCTTCCTGTCAGGAACTCACAGCACATCTCCAGATCTTGCGCTTTGTCAGCACTAGGGCTGAGGGCTGTTGGCCAAACAGCTAACTGCAATTAGATTTGCAATTTACATAGCATAGTTAGCATAGTTTAAATAGCTAAGAGTGGATAAAAACATTCTAGATGATTTAGAGTAACTTGGTTGTAATTTTAGTTCTTGTCTGGTTTAGTTCTTATTGCCTGGGTTTGTTAATTTGTTTTGTGGATCCTGCATTTGTGTGTGCAGTGAGGAGTTTGTTGTGACTGTCCCAAGCGCTCTGAGTGCTTTAATAGTTTCTTACAGTTTTGAATAGATACATTTCATAATATACATACATCCATCCATCCATCTTCTACCCTTTAATCCATTTCTGGGTCAGGGGGGTGACAGTCAGAGATGCCACCCAAGTCTCATAGCACCAGCCCCTCACTGACCCTCTGCAGGTGGTGAGTCCACAGGAGGAGGGCTGCTCTCTGAGTGTGAGCATAGCCTTGATCTTTCAGTGGGGGCTTTTGGGCAAAGTGGGGTTAAGTGTCTTGCCCAAGGACACAACGACAGCAGTCATCAGTGGGAGTCGGTGGAGAAGGTGCAGAGGTGGGAATTGAACCCACGACCTTCTGGCCTTAAGGCCAATGCTCTACCAACTGAGCTACTGTCGCCCCCATACATACATTATATTTATTATTTCTAGTAAGAATATTATACAATAAGTTTGAAAAAATCTCTGCGGTAATAATGTTGTAAGTTAAGCTAAAATGTCTTATCAATAACAAACCAGTGAAATATTCTTTGTCACAGGAACAGATTTTTAAAAACTGCAGTCTTAGTGATTTGCATATGGCCTGTGAGGAACCATTCAATGTCTATACATTTTACAGTTCTAAATCCAGGACCACCTTAGTTGCAGCATTTGACCTACTTGGTTGATGAGGGTGAGGGAAGTGCCCGGAGCAGGTCAGACTCGGTGTAAAACATTTACACTTTGCTCTTGCAGCCGACATTCGAACTGAACTCACATTGCAACTTAACTTTATTTGTCTTTTTGTGTCCAATTGTTTTTCAAACAGCAGGTTTTGGGAAATTATGAAAGTGCTGCTAAGGTTTGCTGCTGATCTGTTGTTAGTTTGTGAAGTCACAGCTGGAAGTTGGAGTAACTTTTGCCTTTTGCACCCCAGAGGCCTCCCCATGTGAAGCAAGCGCTGCCACTTCCTGTTCCGCTCCACTGTTCAACAGCCGTGCACTTGTCATCTCACTCACTCCCTCTCTTGCCACTTTTTACAAGTGGAGGCTTGTCTGGAGCCCAAAGGCTACCTTCTCTTCCTTTTAAAGGAATGTTGGCTATTTAATCTGTGTTCTGTGCCTCTCGCCCTCCCATTCTCTCCTCTTCTCTCCCATTGTCATAGCTCTACATAAACTTGGGCCACTTTATCAGCAGGTATAGCGCTATCGCTGTAACCACATGTTGTAACAGTCTTATAGGAGAAGGCAGCAACAGGAACGCCAGGTAATGGTGTGTGCAGAGGCGAGATCCAGTGTTAAGAGCCTGGGGCTGTGTTGAGTTTATAATTTACGATAGTGAGGGCTGGACTTCAAAGAGAACACGGGTATTCTTCTCTGGCTGCAGTGAGATTGACGCTCAAATGGAACATAATGAAAGACAGAGCACCTTGCTCTGCTTTGGCGGTGGGTTGAACAAAGTGAAAACCTCTGATTCCTGGTGCAAGGGTGAGGTGGGGTGAGGAAGAACTAAGCTCAACAAACCATACCTGAAACTAAGGGCTGTTCTCCTGTTTGGGTGTGTCTGTCGCTGTCGGTGTGAAACAACAACAATATAGACAGACTGGCACTTTGTCTTTAAGTTCCCACGGTTACATTGGTAAAGTTGGGTGGCACTTGTAGTTTAGTCACAATTTCTAAGTTTGTTGATGCTCATATTTAGTCATAATCAAATGTCTCGGGGGGGGGGGAAATAACATAACAGAACAATCAGAACATCATACTAACTGATTAAAAGCCATTTCATACTTAGAATAGAAGCCTTGTACTATTCCTTGCATATGTCAGAACAACGTGACATCATTCTGTGTTCTTGACATCTCAGCTGATCAGAATCTTTTTGACATTTCAAGAACTACAACACCTTTTTTAGACAGTTCTTGTTATATCCTTTTAGTTGAACGTGTTAGGGGTAGAGTGACATAAATCCAAGGTGTAAAATGGTATATCAAAAGCACTTTTTATTATGAAATGATGGAAAATGGCCGAAACAATCATACTTTTTGTTTATAATACTTAATGATTTGTATTTTGTTATTATACTCATAGTTGGTTTTGTGAAGCCATAGTCAGATACATGTTTTTTTTTTGTTTTTTTCAAATGACATCATTGAGCCAATCTATGGAGAGGTCAATTGTGCAGCTTTGCCATTTGAGAGGATAAAGTACCGGATCAAAAAGGCTCCAAGCTGTCATACATGTTAGAGTGGGAATACATCCTATTGAGAACAGGGGATGGAGACTTCTGATCAAGGTCAGAACGACCTTGCAACAATAGTTAATAATTGTTGTTGTTGTTGTTGTTTTTTTTTTTTTTTTTTAAGCGTCACACAACCACTATTAACAAGTGACATTTTGATAAAGTTTTGCTGCTGAAGAGGAAGAGGGATGTGGTTGTCTGTTTGCGTCAACCACATCATAACTATCATTTATTACTGGTCATATTTATGACAAGGAAAGCCATAATTTAAAAAAAATACACTTTTACAATGTACTGTCAAAGAAGTATGATCTCTACTTCAAGAGGACAAACATACTGTGGGTTCATCATGGAGGGGTTGACATGCCATTTGATACATGGGTGGAGCAGGACGGGTCACAAGGTGGAGTAGCCGCTGGGTGGAGCATTTACTCGAGTCTAAAGTAAAATGCTGAATGGTTCATTAGCAATTTTCAAAAAAGTTAACATTCCTCCAGTGGATTTTCATCTGATCCACTTGGTTCGAAGTCGGACCATAAATCCTCTCTGCTCTGGTCTGGGCCATTGCAAAACCATGAACACTCCACTGGAGCAACATCTCAGGTAGAAAAAAGCAAGAAAAATAAAATTTATAAAACACAAAACAACAACTGTTTTAGAGATACTGAAGACCTGCAGCACATTCAAAAGTAAACACACAAATTAGTTTGTGAAAGCGGTCTGAGTGAAATAAGTTTAGTAAAATACTTAGGTTGTCTTATTTAATTATCTAAGATGTAGGAGCACTAATAATCTTTTTTTTTTTTTTTTTGAAGCCCAAGATTTTTTAATAGGTTTAATTTTTAACCAAATAGTTGAGATGCAGTTTGATGGTAAAAGTGCCTATCACCAAGTGAGATGCCCCAAAGAGGTACATCTCAGTCCCAGGCATGTTTCAAGTAGATATAGTGACTCAAAAAGTGATCCACCAAATGGAAGTCTGAGCCTGTGCGCTGTACAAAGTGGAAATAGTGGTACATGTGTGTGTCGTCCAAGTATTGAGTCAGAGCCTGGAGGTTGGCAGGCTGATGTGTTGGAGGGTGAGTAAGGGGTAGAACACAGAATGGGCCCTTTCATTGGAGGGTCAGGCTGGAAAGAAGCAGCCGTCACCTCGGTCCATGTGTTTACTGTTGAGCGGTGACAGACGCCTGGTAAAGAGAGTATAGGGAGAGAATGTGGCGAGTATGTGGAGAGTATAGAGGGTGAGAGGTTTCTAGACT